CTCTCTCTCTCTCTCCCCCTCCCTCTCTCTCTCTCTCTCTCTCTTTCTATCTCTCAAAAACAAACATTAAAAATTAACAAAAAAAAAGAATTCAAGTTGGAAAATTGGCTTGTAGCACTGTTAGGGTTTTTATTTTTTTTTCCTCCATATTCTGCTACTGTAATGAACATTTTGACAGTTTTTTTTGGTATATTTGCACCAAGTCCTGAACTAGGAGAAAGTAAGCAGAAGGAAATTCCTGAGGAGTCAGTAGAGGAGGGCACTTTGCCAAAAGAGAGGCAGGAGGAGGAGGACTCACAACAGAACCAAGATATGAAAGGCGGAGAACAACAGTTGACCTTGAAGCCTGAGGAAACTGTGAGGCTTAGAGAAGAGCTGAATTGTGTAAATCGGAGCTTCCTTCCATCTCAGAGCTCTGGGGATAGTTCAGATGACTGTGGTACCCAGGTAGGTGCTGTAAACACATGCTCTGACTGGGTCCATTTCCTCCGGTCAGCTGTGGATATAGGCATAATTTTTACATCAACATCAGTGTGTTTTGCTAAGCACGCTCATAACCATGGCCTGAATGGTAATCAAATAGCAACCAAAATCTGAACTAAGCTCGGTCATTGATGCACTTTGTTATAAAGGGCTCTTAGGCTCGGTTAGGCTCCGCAGAAAAGAATGCTGATTGGTTGTCAATGTCTGCCCTGGGGAGGTAAGACAGGGAAGGGCAGGATTTGTGCCACATTTCCTGTTCATTGCACCTAGCTTAGATGTACAAAATACTTTGTTTGGGTGGGGAAGAGATCACAGACTTGGAATTAAGTTTGGCTTTTGCTATTTACTAGAGATCTACCTGCTGCAGAGATCAAGAGAGTGACGACCAACCACACTTCAGCTCTTACAGCTCAATTTTGCAGGTTCTCTCTTATACAAATTAAGATATCCCTACATATACCTTTCTAGGAATTATTCTGAGATCCACAGAGGGAAGCCTTTGTACACATAAGTAAACTAACTTCAAAAGACTGACCATAGGCATTTAAAACTGGATTCAAGTGTATATTTGGGCGGGGGTTGGGGGGGGAGAGGCAGAGTAATAGTAAAGGAAGTCAAAAAAACGTTTGAAAAGAGATTCAGATAATACAGTCTGAAAACTAGGCAAGTCACAGTAGAGAAAGAAAATAGATACCTGAAAGGAGATTCAGATACATTTGAAAAAGAAGGGAGTCTCTGGGTTTGTTCAGAAGACCAGAGGGATCTAGGACATCAAATGTTCAAAAAGAAGTTCATTTTCAAGCCCCCAGGCAGTCTGTTTATTGGGAAGTAAGCCAGTGTAGGCAACTTGGAAAGAGGCTGAGCACTGTGGTCACAAAGATTATAAAATCTTTTGTTTATGAGCTTAAAATGATCAATGCACTTACAGAGTAATGAGTTGAAGAGTATGAGAAGCAACACCCTAGTTAATTTATTAATTTTATTTATACTTTCTCATTATTTGAAGAATCATTTCTCAATACTAGGGGGGATGTGACAACTATTAAATATATATGAATTATATGGGAAATCTGGGCAAATAGCCACTTTGTGAAAGGACAAACAGCCCTTTATGCCACACAGCTTCTTAGGGTTTCACTGAATTCTTGCAGAGTTCAGTAATTTTATTCCACAATAATGACTTTGAATTATTGAAAGAAGAGTAAGTTGCTCTTACTCGTTTATCCAGCTGTTGTTAATTGAGCATCTGTGATGGGTCAGGCCCCGTGTTAGGGCCCATACAGCAGGAAACAAACTAGATGTGGGCTTCATGGGAAAAAATAACGTATTCGTGTTTTGAACTTTACATTTCCCAAAACAGTATAACACACACTATTTCATTTACTTCTTTAAGGAGGCAAGGATTTTGGACAGACTTTAGTGTTTCTGCAGTGTGCTGTGCAGTGATAATTTCAGAACCTTTTTCTGTGTAGAGGGTGCTTGGATCTACTGGTGGCTATAAATTGTTGTACTTTTTAGTTCTTGTGTATGTGAGGGTTGTGGTCTTCACCCTGTTGTCGGATTACAGTGTCTAGTGCCTAGCTGATTGTTCATGTGTGCTGCATCTTCTTAATCTCATAACATACACATTTAAGCAACGATAGCTAGGGGTGCCTGGGTGGCTCAGTCTGTTGAGCGTCCAACTTCGGCTTAGGTCATGAACTCACTGTTCGTGAGTTCAAGCCCTGCGTCAGGCCCCGTGCTGACAGCTCAGAGCCTGGAGCCTGCTTTGGATTCTGTGTCTCCCTCGCTCTCTCTCCTTTCCCTGCTTGTACGTCTGTCTCTCAAAAAATGAATAAATGTTAAAAAAAATTTTTTTAAGCAACTGTAGCTTGAGACTAGATATCAGACTTTAAAGAATGCTTATTGATAGTAAATACATAGAAAAAGAATGGTGAGAGCCTCTTTTATGAGTAAGTACATGAGCTCTATTGTTCATATGTATTTGTGACATCATTTGTGGCTGTCAGTTGCCTTTGGTGGCTTAACTGCTGTTCAACAGTGTTCCAGGTACAATTGTAATAGCTGAATTCTAGATTATTACTTTCCCCACATTCATGAAACCAACCGGAATCACCATTAATTATCTGAATGTTATAGGTTTAAAATCTAGTTTCATGGTTTTACATAGCATTATTGAATATTTACTATGTTCCAGGCACTACACTAAATACCTTGTGTATATTAAGCAACACAACAAGACAGGATATTATTGTTGCCACTTTATAGATGAGGAAACTGAGCCTTTAGAGAGGTTAAATAATTTTCCCAGAATAACACATTGTGATGGAACCTGGGTCTGTCTACTCTAGAGCTTGACCTTTTAGCTGCTATTTGATTTGTTTCCCCCTGCTGAGAAGTTCAAAGAAAGCATACACTTCTCATGTAGAGCTAATTTCCTGAGGAAGGCTGACAAACTGTCTCCCAAAAGGCCTCTCAGGGTGTCTGTTATAGATTATCTGGGTGAATTCATTCAGGGTTTGATGTAGGCTTGTAGGCTTGATGTATTAGTCCCCCTAGAATGGATCTGTATCTTGGGGATAAACTCAAACCAAACTTTTGAGACTATTGGGTAAAATCAGAATGGCTGTTAGTTATTATTCTGTAATGATTAATCATAATTATCACTTGAACTTGTTTAAATAAACAGCACATTTACCTGTAGAGAGTGAAGAAAAATCAAAATCTGAAGGATGTTTGCTGAGTAGAGAGTCAGAACAAGTGGACTTTGTTTGTTGAGTGACACATTCACAGGTTGGATAGCCCGTTCCATCCACATTCACTGGATGAGAATATTTAAGGTTCGTAAGCTTTAATTGTTTCCACAAAAGGAATGATCTTGTCATTGGGACCAGTATATAGATTTGGTTCATATTAGATTTTTCTTTTGTGAAGACAATATTTTAAAATATTAAAAGCTAGATTTTAAGCCTATAAAATTAAGATAATTAGTACTGGTTCCATTTTTATTTATTTTAATTCTTAAGGAATTATGAATTCCTTAAGAAGAGACATTACGCGTCATCTGGTCTTATGCCCTTAATTTGCAGATGAGTCAGCTGAGACTCAGAGAGGATAATTGCCTTAATAAATCTGTTGATTGATCAAGAAAGGATGCTTGTGTACTTTCCTTTGCATGGTTCCTAGTAGCCTGGCTGAGTCTAACCACCTCTGTAATAACTTTCTACCAGGAAGCAATTTACATGTGGGGAAAAAATAAGGACCCTGTATGTTGGTCACTTGACTGTTTGGTAGCTTCTTTAATGGTTGCCTTTCATGAAAAATAATTTGCATTTCTACTCTGGCAAAGTGACTTGACTAGAAAATGTAGGCAAGAAAAACTATTGTCCTGGCTTTTCTCATCTTCAAAACAGGCTAAAAACTTCTGTACATGGGTGTAAAGGGGGTGCTTCTCTTGTATATCTTGGGCATGTTAAGCGGCCATATGGGCCGCCGATTACTAATTGATTATTAAAAGCTGCTGTTGTCTGATAGTTAAATAAGAAGCTGGACTTGTGATCAAGGCTTTCCAGGCTTCAGGAGAACTCTTGTTTCAGGTGGAGCAGAAGGCAGTTAAAATATAATTGGGTAGCATCCACAGTAATGGGTAGTGGGTAATGGGCGGTGTCACTGAGTGCTTCTTGTGTACTACGTCATGCTGAGTTCTTGCATGCATTATCTTACTTACCCTTCACTCCATCCAGCAGTTATCATTATTATCCCCATTTTAAGATGAGGAAAATGAAAAGCATAAAGACTAAGGATCTCCTCCAAGACAGATTCAGGACTGAAACCCAGATGCATCTAGTTCCAAAGATAGGGTTCTTAATAACTACATTATAATTCCATTAAAGAATTTTTTTCTAGGTATCTTAGACACTTGCAACTCTGGGACAAGCAAATTGGATTTAGACTACCTTTTTGAATATACCAAGATGAGAATTGAAGGGCTTATAGGACTTGGGCAATTCTGTGTTGCAGTTCTGTTGTAAGCAAGAGAGACTAATGACATGGGCTTTCTGGGAAGTCATGGACAGGAAGTACACTGGACCAGGACTCAGGAAACTCTATATCTTATCTGTTAACTGGATACAGTTGAATTCTTTATCTACACAGCACACCGATGTGAGCCTACCTTTTAGAGAATCCAAATGACTCCTCCTTTGGTCAAGGTGGTTTTATTGCACTGGAGACCTGACAGGAGGGTGTATGGTTGTCGAATAGTAACTGAAGAAGAATCATCTGGTAGTAACAGGGAAAGTGATGAGGAAGGCTGAAAATTTAAGATCTCCTGCTAAATGTTCTTTCTTTTTGCCAACAGACACCGCACACATGCACACATACTACATACACATTCACACTTTCCTTCTTCACATATTGACTCTTTGAACTTTCCATTGAAATATTTTACCCTAAAATGGTCCATGCTTCTGTTTCCCTTCATTGATGTGAAAAATAAGAAAGTTAGTTGTCTATGCTTAACTGCTTTGCCTAAATAATTTCTTTGATATGTTCATTCTAAAATAACAAGAGTTAAATCATACGAACATGTACCAACTAAACATAAGTATAAAAAGAGTAATTTGCTATAGGTGAGCCAACTCCAAAAATATTTACCTATGAATAATCAGGTCCTGACATTTCTGCTTCTGATAGCTGGAACCCACGTTTTACCAATATTCTTTCAAATTGTCCATGTTTCTCTTTTAAACTGTTTGTTTTAGTATCTATCATCTGGAGAAAAACAGAAATACCAGCAGCAAGAGGATATACAACAGCTTCGCCAGAATTTACACCGGCTCCAGATTCTGTGCAGCTCAGCCGAAAAAGAGCTCCGGTATGAGCGAGGAAAGAATTTGGACTTAAAGCAGCATAATAGCTTACTTCAGGAAGAAAGCATTAAGGTAACTCTGGTGGGTGTGTCCTTGATTGGAGGGTCTCAATTGCTTAATCACCCCTGTGGATAAATGAATTAGAACTCCTCAGCTGCATAGTTCATGATAGGATCCACAGATGTGTGGACAATGTGAGCTCTCTGATAACTCCCTCTGACTCTGCCCTACCAAGTAGGTACACAGTTCAGTTGTTTCTCTGCTGCTGAAGCTGTGTGTATACTGTCAGTCAACCTGTCAATGTGAAACACTTTAAGTTATACAATCTTTTGAAATCATTAGCTACAACTTTTAACACTTAATCGATTTGAACCACCTGACCCCAAACACTAGTGGTCTTGACCTAGTTCTAGCTGCAGTCTTATTTATTCCCTAAGAGATGTATCCATTATTATTGGTTGAATCAAATATCAACTGCACCGAGGTACAATTCCTAGGAGGGCAAACTTGTTCTTCCTGACTCAAGACTATCAAAAAGTTAGGAGGACATCCCCTAAACATGCCTGTTTTAAAATAACCTATCGTGGATGCCTAGGTGGCTCAGTCATTAAGCATCTGACTTCCACTCAGGTCATGATCTCATGGTTTGTGAGTTCAAGTCCCAGATCAGATGAGCACGAGCCACACCTCGGGTAAAACACGAGTCCCATTTCGAGTGGGCTCTGCTTTCTCTCTCTCTCTCTCTCTCTCTCTCTCTCTCTCCCTCTCTCTGCCCCTTTCTCACTTGTGCCCTCTCTCTCTAAAAAAATAAACAAGTAAAATAAATAAAATAATCTATGGAGAACTGTCATCCACAGAGTCATCTAAATTTTGTGAATCACATAAATATTCAAACTGAACCATCATGTAAAGTAGTGCTTCCTTTTAATTGAGGTTCAATTCTGTAAGCATATATCAGGGACCTAGTTTCTATAAGTCCCCATCTAAAGTTCTGGAATTCAACATTCAACAAATATGTGCTAAGCATCAGTCATATCCTGGGCAGGCAATCTTGTTGATACCGAAGGTTTAATTGTAGGTAAAACCAATACAATTCTTATCCCCTGGTTAGTAGGGACCCATCCAGAGTCAAATCCTGCCTACCTTTTGTTTTTGTAAATAAAACTTTATTGGCACACAGCCATACCTGTTTATTTACATATTATGGATGGCTGCTTTTGTACTACAAAAGCAGATTTGACTAGTTCTGACAGAGACCATGTGGCCCACAAAGGCTAAAATATTTGTGCTCTTGACCTTTTATAGGAAAATTTGTCACATCTGGTGAGGCAGGAACAGGGTAACTTATTCCAATAGTGACATAAAAATGAATTAAGGGGCACCTGGGTGGCTCAATCAGTTGAGCCTCTGACTCTTGATTTCAGCTCAGGTGATGATCCCAGGGTTGTGGTATCTAGCCCCGTGTCGGGCTCTGCACGGAGCATGGAGCCTGCTTAAGATTCTCCCTCCCCGCCTCTCCCCTGCTCACAGGCCCTCTCTCTCTCTCTCTCTCTCTCTCTCTCTCTCAATAAAAATAAAAAATAAGATAAAATTTTAATAAATTAATCAAGAAACGTCCCTACTTTTTAGTAACTCACAATCTAGTAGAGGAGATATAGATGAAAACAAGCAGTCATTTATGTCAAACTTTAAGGGAAGCGTTTCTTTTCTTTTTTTTTTTTTTTCAATATATGAAGTTTATTGTCAAATTGGTTTCCATACAACACCCAGCGCTCATCCCAAAAGGTGCCCTCCTCAATACCTAAGGGAAGCCTTTCTAGGGAGTCCTAGTGTTCCAGGATTATTTGAATAAACCTCTTTCTTACCCTCACTCCTCATGATTTTTTTAATATTGGTCACATTCTCTCAAGCCTTTGTAGTTTTAAATTAAATTCCAAATCTTTATCACATTTCCTTATAACACATTTCTGAGATCCTCTTAACTATCTAACTCTGAAAATATTCAAGCAATACTACATCTTTCTTAAGGTGTGATGATCGGACAGCACAGATTGTAATGCCTTATCTGTGGTTGACACCCTAGAAATTTTTGTTGAATTAATAAATGAGTCCTTCAGGGATAGGTAAATGATAAATTGGTAAAAAGTGAAGCCATCTTTTGTTCTGTTTTAAATCCCTTCATGGTGGGATAAAATATTGGCCATTCCAGTAATGAGACATCAGTGTTTTGGCTGATCCCTTAGGCCAGGCACCTAAGCAAAGTCATATATAACAGCCAATTACCTTTTATTGACAGTTTGTCTGTTTTATCTCTTATAAACCTCCCTACAGCCCTAAAGGGTCAGCATTTTATAGATGAGAAACTATTCAGTATTGCAAAGCTAACAAATCATGGAGTCAGAATTTAAATTCAGGTCTGTTTCTCTTTTTCCTATGAAGGAATCTTTCTGTATTATACCTTTCCTCATTTTGGAACCTCAGCTTTGCAAACTTAGAACTCACTCTTTAAAATCCACTCAGAGATGATCAAACTCTGGGGCTCTGGCTAATGTTAGGCATACTTAGAAGACTGATTAAGAAACCAGAGAATGGGATGCTTGGATGGCTTGGATGGTTGAGTGCCCAACTCTTGATTTTGGCTCATGTCATGATCCCAGTGTCATGGGATCAAGCCCCAAGTTGGGCTCTGCACTGAGCATGGAGCCTGCTTAAGATATTTCTCTCTCTCTCTCTCTCTCTCTCTCTCTGTCCCTCCCCCACGCACACACACTCTCTCTCAAATAAGAAAGAAACTAGAGTATTAATTTATTACTTTTAAACCATTTTATTATGAAATATAACACTCAGAAAGTACATAAGTATATAGTTTAACAAATTGTTATAAAGCAAGTACCCATATAACCACCACTCAGGATAAGAAATAGCGCATTGCCTGCACACCAGCAGCCCCTGCCTGCCTCTTTCCCATCTATAATCCTGTCGCCTTCCCATTTTAGCAGTAACCACTAATCTTGATTAATAACTCTTTTGCTTTACTTTATAGTTTCACCAACTGTGAATCTCAAACAAAATAGTTTTGCTGATTCTTGAATATTTTACAAATACAATCAATCAGTGTATGCACCTTCTATCTTTTTATGACCTACTTGTTTGGAACATTCACCCATGTTGTGCTGTATAGCTATTGTTCGTCCATTTTCTTTGCAGTATAGTATTCCACCATAAGAAATTGCCATTACCTATTCTTTCTATGGTTTATGGGCATCTTGTATGTTTCCAGCCTGGGCTATTAAGAAGAATGCTGTAGGCTTTCAGAGCTTCAGGCAGAGAATTGTTCTGACATCACCAGCACTGAGACACTGAACTGGATCCTCTTACTGGTGTTTGAACATCCCAGCCTGAAGCTAAAAATGCCCTCCTACATGCACATATCATTGGCCATAATAGTGTTTGCTCCACTGTTGTCTCATTCCATCAGTACCAGCATGATCAAAATGCTGCATATTAGCCATATGACTGATGATCACAGGTCCCGGAGGCCTTTAGCTTTCTTGGCCTGTGGAAGAGGTGGTCTTGTATGAAAGGACTTGTGCCTTTTCTATTTACAGTAAGAAGTTTAGGTTTCAAAACCCTGACCTAATCCAGTGCACCAAATATTCCAACACTTGATTTTTTTCTTTTCCCCTATTTCTTTGTTTCTTCTTCTAGTCATTAGATCTGTGTCTTACTGAGTTTTTCATGGCTACATTTTTCTTTTTTTGTAACCTCATAATCCCCTTCACCTCTTTTGCCCATCTGCCCCACCTTCCTCCCTCGTGGTAGTAACCGGTTTGTTTTTTGTATTTATGAATCAGTTTCTGTTTGGTTTGGTTTGTTCCAGATTTCCCATATAAGTGAAATCCTATGTCTTTATCCGTGGCTACACTGTTCATGAAAAATGAAAGTTCCAGGCTAACTAATAGGTTAGAGTGCCCTTCGAGAAGAAATCGAGATTTAATAGATTTGTTCCTGTCAATGAAGTTTCAAAAACTGTACGAATCCTCCAAAATAAAATGAGAAAATTTTTTTAAAAATTTAAAAAAAAAGGGGGGGAGAGAGTAGTTGAACTGGTTTAGAATAGTGGAGGGAGATAAAGGAGGATTTTTACTGAGAGAATAGGAGGCTTATTAAAGTCTACTCTAGAATTTCTTTTTGATAATACCAAAGAGGCTAGCTTATTACAGTAGTTTTTTCCTCTTGATCTACATTGACCCACCAATGATACCAAGGCATATTACTTGTAGGGTTTAATTTCTTCATTTCTACACGCATTCATTTCTACTCTGTTTAATAAATTATTTTGACCTTTTTACATGCCTGTTAACATTTTTGGAGATGGCATATCTGGTCTTCAGAAATTAATGCAAAAGCAGGTATCATAAGCTTAGCACTCTGGATGCTTGAGTAGCCTTTATGCAAGGATCTTTGCTTTAAAACAGAGAGCATAAGAGCACATTTATTTCAGGTATGTTCGTTTATTGAATGTAAGACTCTTTCCTGAACAGTGAGATGTACAAAATGATCTGAGTTAACACGTCTACTTTTTAAAAAACTGCTGCTGGGGCGCCTGGGTGGCTCGGTCGGTTAAGCGTCCGACTTCGGCTCAGGTCATGATCTCACGGTCCGTGAGTTTGAGCCCCGCGTCAGGCTCTGTGCTGACTGCTCAGAGCCTGGAGCCTGTTTCGGATTCTGTGTCTCCCTCTCTCTCTGCCCCTCCCCTGTTCACGCTCTGTCTCTCTCTGTCTCAAAAATAAACGTTAAAAAATTTTTAAAAACAAACAAACAAAAAAACTGCTGCTATGAACATTCATGTACATGTATCCTGATGTCCACAGGACGTATTTCTCTAGGAAGGGAGTGGGAGTGGAATTATTGCATCTCAGCGTATGTGTTACTTCAACTCCTGTCTAAAGGTTTATACTCCCACCAGCAGGTAGGAAGGTTCCTGTTGCTCTGCGTCCTCACCAACTCTTGGTACTGTCAGACTTTAAATTTTTTGCTAATCTCGGATACATGTATAGTGGTAGCTCCTAGCATTTTAATGCGCATTTCCCTGTTTACAAATGAAGATGAACAGCTCTCTCTAAATGTATTTGACATCTGAGTTCCTATTTTGTGAACTCCCTGTTTAAGATTTTGTTTACTTTTCTTTGGGACTTCTGTCCTTTTAATTTTCCCACTCATTTGTAGGAATTCTTTGTATATGAAGCCTTGATCAGGTTTGTATCACCAACACCTTCTACTCTGTGACTTACATTTTCACTCTCTAAATAGAAGTTTTGATGAATCAAAGTTTTTCATTTTAACCTAATCAATGTTTACCTTTATAATTGGTGATTTCAGGTTCTGACTTAAGAAATCTTTGTCAGCCTCAAAGTCATAAAGATATTCTCCTACATTACTGTACTGTCCACTAGGACATAAGAAATGTGTGTGGTCTGTTTCTGAGCTCTCTCTTTTGTTCCATTGTTCTGTCTATTCTTGTGCCGATAGCATGCTATCTTAATTTAGCATTATGCAGACCTCAATATTTGATAGAGCACAGCTTTTCATTTTGTTGTTCTTGTTCTAGGATGCCTGGATATTCTTGGCCATTTGAAATTTTATATAAATTTTGTCATCAGTTTGTCAAGTTACACGCACAAACCCACATGTACTCACACACAACATACATATACTAACACATAACCTTTGGGGATTTATACACTGAATTTATACACTAAATCTGTAGATAAATTTGGGCAGAGTTTAAATCTTTACAATATTGAATCCTCCATGAAATATGTGTGTATTATATTTAGGTCTTCTTTAATTTTTCCCAATATCCTAATTTTCTTTGTGGAGACCTTATACATCTTTTATGTTAGACACATTCCTAGGTGCTGATATTTTCCATACTATTGTAAATGGTAACTTTTTAAAGTTTCATTTTCTAACTATTGCTAATACATAAAAATGCAGTGAATTTTTTTGAATAAAAACCTTGCCATACTTTTAAATTACTTCTTACAATTGATGCTTATATTATTTTGTATTGTATACACAAGCAATCATATCATCTAGGAATAAATACAATTTTCTTTCTTTCCTTCCACATGTTATACCTTTCATTCTTTTTTTCTTGCCTAAGCAGTGGCTAGTACAGTAACAAATAGAACCGATGATAGTGGGTACCATTTTCTCATTCCCAGTCTCAAAGAAAAAGTTCTAAAATATCAGTTAATATGCCTTGTAGGATTTTTTTAATAGACATTTTTTAATCACATTAAGAAAATTCTTGGGGCACCTGGGTGGCTTAGTTGGCTAAGCATCTAACTTCTGCTCAAGTCATGATCTCACGGTTCGTGAGTTCGAGCCCCATGTCGGGCTCTGTGCTGCCAGCTTAGAGCCTGGAGCCTGCTTCAGATTCTGTGTCTCCCTCTCTCTCTGCCCCTCCCTGGCTCTCACTCTGTCTCTCTGTCTCTCTCTGTCTCTCTCTCTCTCTCAAAAATAAATAAGCATTAAAAAATTTTTTTAAATAAAATTCTTTTATAGTGTTCATTCAATGTTTTTGGATGAGTACATGTTGAATTTCATCAAATTCTTTTCTGCATCATTTTTTGAGAAGATAAGATTTTTATATCTGTTAATACAGTGAATTATATTGACTGATGTTCTAATGCTAACTCAACTCTGCATTCCTAGGATAAACCCATCTTCATCCTAAATTATTATCCTTTTTCTACATTGCTGGTGTTAGCTTGTTAGTATTTCTTTGGAATTTTTGCATCTTAGTTCGCAAATGAGACTAGCTTGTCATTTTTCTTCCTTATAACATTCACATCAAACTTTAGCATAAAGGTTACCCTAGCCCCTTAACATGAGACAGGTAACATACCTTCATTTTGTGTTCTCTGGAAGAGTTTGTAAGAGTGAATTACAGTTGGGGCGCCTGAGGCACCTGGGTGGCTCAGCTGGTTGAGCATCTGACTCTTGATTTCAGTTCAGGTCATGATTTTGGTTCAGATCGTGATTTCACGGTTGTCAGATCGAGTCCCATGTTGGGCTCTGTGCTGACAGAGCAGAGCCTGCTTGGGATTCTCTCTCCCTCTCTTTCTCTCTCCTCCCCAACTTGTGCATGCTCTCTCTCTCAAAAATAAATAAACCGTAAAGAAAAAAAAAAGGAGTAAATTACAACTATTTCTTCTTTAATAATTATAAGACCTCATTTCTGAATCCTTCTGATTCTAGAGTTTTATTTTGGGAAGATTTTCAATTACTGATTCAGTTTCTTAATGGTTATAAGAAGTCACACATATACCAAAGTATGTTTTATTTGGTATATGTGTATATTTTATTTTGGTATATTTTATTTTTATAGAAATTTGGTATATTTTATTTTTATAGAAATTTTTTTCATTTAAATTTTCAAAATTTTTATTAAAGTTAGTCATCAACTTTTAAAAATAGAGATGGCCCTTTTCATTTTCATGATGCTAAATAACCTGTGATTTAAAAGAGGTTGGCAAAGACCAGACCATAGAAGGCCAGGCAAGCTGCTGGGATTTGTTTCCAGAGTTTCAGGAAGCCTGAAAGATTTAAGCAGTGGAGTGAATAGTTCAATCTATGTTTTTAAAAGAACACTTTGAGGGCGCCTGGGTGGCTCAGTCGGTTAAGCGTCTGACTTCGGCTGGGGTCATGATCTCGCGGTCCGTGAGTTCGAGCCCCGCGTCGGGCTCTGTGCTGACTGCTCAGAGCCTGGAGCCTGTTTCAGATTCTGTGTCTCCCTCTCTCTCTGATCCTCCCTCTCCCTCTCTCTGTCTCAAAAATAAATAAACGTTAAAAAAAAATTTAAAAGAACACTTTGGCTGCATTGTAGAGAACAGATTAGAAGGGCGTAAACATGGAAGTGGCAGAACCATGTCATTATTGCAACAACCAAGGCTGGAGACCATGATGTTGGAGACGAGGGTGGTAGACACTGATGGGCCGATGCAAGACGTGTTGTGGAGGGAGCAGGACAGCAAGTGCCGAAGGGGCTCAGGATGGGAAAGGAAGACTCAGGATTACTTTGAGACTGCTGGCCTGAACAAAACCTTGGATGGAGGCATCATTTATTGAAATCGGGAAGACTGAGAGAGAAAAATCATTTTTGATATGGACAGAATCAGGGAGTTTTATTTTGGCAGTTCCAGGCACAAAGATGGTATTTCAAATTGTGACAGCGAACTAGGGAAGGAATGATCAACTCTCAAAGCCTGGGAGAGTCCAGTGATATTTAGAAGCTGGGCAGCATTAGAAGAGTCTACACAAGAGACCGGGAAGGAACTGCAAAGAGATGCAAGCAAACCAGGAGAGTTTGGTATCACAGACTCCATGATAATTTTCTGAGACAGAGGGAGTGAATGCTACCTAAGAGGTCAGTTGTCCACTGGATTCATTTTGGCAGTGGGGACATCAGTAGTGCCCCAGCATAAATAGTTTCATGGAGGAGTGGGAATGAAAGCCAGCTTGCAGTAGATTTTTAAAAAAGGATGGAAAATGTTTAGACCATGCGTGTGTAGAAACATTAGGAAAATTCCTCTGTCCAGCGGCCATCTGGCAAACCTTACTGACACAAGACAGTTCCGGGGAGTTAATCATCCATGTGACATTGGTTATTTGTCAGCTCTTAGGGGACTGCACTGCTTGGAAAAGTGCTTATTCTGGCTCATGTTCATGTTCTTTCCACGCTTATTTCTATCACTCTTGTTTATTCCCCTCCTCTAGATCAAAATTGAACTAAAGCAGGCCCAGCAGAAGTTATTAGATGGTACAAAGATGTGCTCTTCACTCACGGCAGAATGGAAGCACGGTCAGCAGAAAATCAGGGAACTGGAGCTGGAGGTACTTAAACAGGATCAGAGCATTAAATCACAGGACAACCTGAAGGAAAAGCTGGCTCAAGAGAAATCAAAAGTCGCTGATGCAGAGGAAAAGGTAATTATCCTCATGCTTAGTAAGTACCATACACTGGATACCAGTACTAAAATCCTGTTTCCCTAAGGATTTAGGAAGTAGATATGATGCACACTTCATAGAATTCCAGGGTTTTTCTGTGCTCTTCCATGCTTTCCTCTCTTTTGACTTCACCTGCTCCTGCAGTTCCAGTAAATCTCATGTTTCTTTAAACTGCATGAACTTGAAAAGGTAAGGGTCTGTAAAGCTATAGCATGAACTTAAAGTAACTGACTGAAACCATATGACTTTTGTTTTATACTTTCAACTTTTAAAAGACTTATTCTCCTCTCCTTTGGATTGTCTCTCTCTATGGTTTTTATTTTACAATTTGGGGGTGGATTCGTGTTGTGAAATGAACCATTTTGAAATAATGCCCCTGCATTTTAGATTCGCTAACACCAGGTGGCAGTAGTACGCAACAGTTGCACATTTTGATCTGTGGGTTTCAGTCAAATCTCACGTAAAAAATAAATCCTTAAATAAATAAATAAATAATGTAATCCAACAGTATAAATATGAAACAAACATCAAAAAGCAGATGACATCCATCTTTATTATGCTCAAAAGCCTAATTTTGAGCTAAAGAAACCAGAACAAAAGACTTCATACTATGTAATTTCATTTATAAGAGGTTCAAGAAGAGACAAAACTAAACAGATGAACATAAGGGAAGGGAAGCAAAAATAATATAAAAACAGGGAGGGGGACAAAACATAAGAGCCTCAAACATAGAGAACAAAGGATTGCTGGAGGGGTTGGGGGGGCGGGCAATGGGCTAAATAGGTAGGGGCATTAAGGAATCTACTCCTGAAATCGTTGCATTATATATGCTAACTAACTTGGATGTAAATTAAAAAATAAATAAATTATTTACAAAAAAAAAAGAATGACAAAACTAAGCTACGGTCAGAGGATGTTGGTTGTCTTTATGAGGGTTATTAACTGGGAGAGGATGAGAGGGACTCTTTCTTCCATGGTGCTGGGAGCATTCTTTATCTTAGCATGGGAAGTGGTTATATAAGTAACTTCATTCAGTATGCTTCAAGATATGTGCACTTTATGTATGTTAGTACTCCATTAAAAAAGTAGTTGGCTGGGGCGTCAGGGTGGCTCAGTTAAGCATCTGACTCTTGATCTTGGCTCAGGTCATGATTTCACAGTTCATGGAAGTCAGCCCCAGATCAGGCTCTGTGCTGACAATGCAGAGCCTGCTTGGGATTCTCTCTCTCTCCCTCTCTCATGACCCTCCCCTGCTCATGCTCATGCTCTCCCTCTTTCAAAATAAATAAACTTAAAAACAAGAAGTAGTTGGTAAAACTGATACAGATTAGTAAAAAACTCTAAATTTAGACAGTACTAAATACTGGTGAGGATTTTGTGCAACAGGGACTCATATATTGACTGCAGTTGGAAGAGTAAATTAGCATAAACACTTCGGAAAGCAATTGGCATTTGCATCTAGTTAGGTTAAAGACGTGTGTATCATACAACCCAATGCTTCTACTACTGGGCATAAATACTAGAAAAAGTATTATACTGCACAGAGGTATCAGGAGACAGGAATACAATCATTTTTGTAGAAATATTGTTCCAAATAGCAGAAAATTGGAAGCAACCCAAACGTCCCCTGACATAATATCAAATAAATAAACTGTATATTTACACAATAGCATACAACAGTGAAAATAAATGAATTACAGGTACATGCTGTAGTTCAATATATATTGAATAAAAAATCAGGGGCACCTGGGTGGCTCGGCTGGTTAAGCGTCCGACTCTTGATTTTGGCTGAGGTCATTATCTCACAGTTTGTGAGTTCAAGCCCCATATCGGTCTCTGCACTGGCAGTGTGGAGCCTGTTTCAGATTCTCTCTCTGCCCCTCTCTTGCTCGTATTCTCTCTAAATAAATAAATAAATAAACATTTAAAAAAATCACCAAAAACACGGTATGATTTCATTGATTCAGAGGTCAAAATTATGTAAAGGAAAAGCCATGTTACACAGATTATATATTAAAGAAAAAGCAAGGAAATGATTAACCCAAAACTCAAGATAATTGGTTTTCTCAAGTGAGGAGGGAAGGGGGATAATTGACAAGGTCCCAGAGTAGACTTTAAAAGTATTGGAAATGTTCTTTTCTCAACTGGGTGACAGGTTCAAAAGTCTGCATATGTCCCTGATAGAGAAGCCAATGGGGTGGTGTTATTTGCCTCTGTGGAATTAAGAGTGAATATCTTTAAGGAAGCATTTTCCCTTTGTAGGACTAAACAGGGGCAGCTCAAAGGAACTTGAACTGGCCATGGATGACTGGCTGCCCACTGCCATTGCCCTCGAATCATTCTGCATTTCTGCATCTTCACCTCTCCTATAGTTTGTGGGCTCTGCCAGGACCTAGGGCTGGTGCACAAAGCCCTGCTCTTAAAAAGGGGGCTGCCGTGCACTGGCGTTCACGAGTGTTTGTGGGGACTGTGGTGCCAAACCCTCATAAAGAATGCATTTTTAGATCAGGAATACATTCAGGAGACAATAGCTATTCTGCTAAGAACTAGTCATTCAGCAGATATTTATTGAGCATCTGCTATGTACCAGTCACAACTTAGGGTGACACAAAGGTTCATAAAAATATGTAAACAAATTAAAAGGATACTTATCTAATAAAAAAAAGTTTTAATGAAGCTTTTAATCTAACATGTAAATTCTAAAATAAAATTATACATCTCTCTTTCAAATTCATAAATCTTATTGTTAGTCCTACCAGTGCATTAAAGAGCATATTACTGGTGCGAGGTGAAATGCTAACAGGAACTCGATTTGTAAGAGACTCCTACTTCGTTTTAAGATCTTATCCTGAATCTAGTCACACTGTGGAGAAACTAGACACACTCCTACATTGCTGTTGGAAGTGTAAATTGGCCTAATACCTATGGAGCCAGCTTGGCATTATCTATTAAACAAACAAATAATAGTAATCTTTGCCCTAGCAAACCCACATCTCGTAATGTATTCTAGAGATTTGTTGGTAATAGCAAAAGATTGGAATCAATTTAATTGTCCATCAGTAGGGGTCTACTTAAATAAGTTATGATATATCCTTATATATGCAGCTGTAAAAGAGAGGGCGATTCTACATAAACATATAATATGGAAAAATCACCAAGTGTTATTTTTATTTACAAAAAGCAAGCTGCATAAGTATATATGGTATGCCATCATTTGTGTAAAAAATATGTATATGAAGGAGAACTGTATAATAGTATTTAGTTATATAGGCATAAATAAATCCCTGGAAGGGTACGTAAGAAACTAATACCAGAAATTGTGTATTTAGTGGAGGAAAAGTGGCAGGAAGACAGGATAAAGATGGGAAGGAGTTTTCACTGCATGGCTTCGTTTTACCCAAACATGCATTAAACTACGCGAATGTATCAGGTAGTGTAAAACTTAGGTAACTTATTTTAAAATTAAATCTAGCCACATTCTCTGCTTTAGATCAGATTTGTTTGTTAGCACTATGTTTGCCAGTTACTCATCCAGCATTTCCCTGATTGGAAAAAAAAGGTCATGCTTAATGTTTTATTTGTGAAATTTTTCCTTCAAGATTTTGGATCTGCAGCAGAAATTAGAACATGCTCATAAAGTCTGTCTCACAGACACTTGTATTTCGGGAAAGAAGCAACTGGAGGAAAGGATAAAGGAAGCACTAGAAAATGAAGCTAAGACAAAGCAACTATATCAGGAGGAACAACAGAAGAGGTAAGAGGAGCAAAGATGTCAGTTTCCCATGGGCCAACCTGATTGAGTTTAGCAGGAATGTCAGTTTACGGATGTATTTCCTCTGTGTTCCCACTGCAGTGAACTACATTACATAACTTCTTGTATATAGCACTCGTTACACTGTATTCGAATTGTTTTTCCTGTTTGCCTTTCACAAAAGAGTGTCAGATTCTTTTTTTTTTTTTTTTTTTTTTTTAAATTTTTTTTTTTTTCAACGTTTATTTATTTTTGGGACAGAGAGAGACATAGCATGAACGGGGGAGGGGCAGAGAGAGAGGGAGACACAGAATCGGAAACAGGCTCCAGGCTCTGAGCCATCAGCCCAGAGCCCGACGCGGGGCTCGAACTCACGGACCGCGAGATCGTGACCTGGCTGAAGTCGGACGCCTAACCGACTGCGCCACCCAGGCGCCCCAAGAGTGTCAGATTCTTAAGGGCAGGGTTTATTTCTCGTTGCTCTGAGCCGGGTGCACGGGGTACAGGAGTAAATTTTCTTGAATGACTGACTAGATTACCTATGAAATATGATACTCTGGGCTTTGCTTTTCCAACTCTCACATGATTGGCATAAACTGCAAACTAAAGGAAATTGATTTTTGTATTTATCACCTGATTTCCTTGAAAGAAATTCCAAGTACTTTACAGACCTCTTAATCATCAGTAATCTGTCACCAAATAGGAGCTTTCATTTTTTTCTAAAATTATTATGATTACTATTAGAATTCTTACTTAAATGATCTTCCTGGATGCCCTAAACTTCAGTAACTGATGCTTCTTATTTCTATGGCACTGAAGAGTGAACCACATATGTTTTAAGAAAAATATGGTTTTAGCCACTGAAAAGACATGCAGACATTCACATATATAATGAAGCTCAAAAATTTATTTTCAGCTTTAGCTAAAAGCTCTAACATCAGCCCTGGCACTAAAAGGTACTCAGTAAATACTTAGCGAATGAATAATGTGTAAGTAAGTAAATGAATGAACGTATGAATGAATAATGAGCTCACTCGGAAGTACAGTAGAAAAATACTTGTCTCACTGCTACAGCTAACAGGATGGCAGACCATCCTGTTGTAATACACCTAGATCCTGAATAAACTATAGTAAGTAAACCTTTTAAGTGTTGCCCACAATAAAGCAAGAGAAAGTGCTAAGAGCAAACATACAATAGGCTACAACAACAATGATGAATGGGGCAAACAAGCTTCTAAGTCAGGGGGCAAATAATAATATCAGCCCCAGGTTGGAGAGAAGGAGCTGAGGAAGTTTGCCCCAAGGTGGAAGAGGTGAACTAGAGATTCTAATATTAAAGCTGGGAAGCTTGAAGGAGCTGAAGTGTTCCCAAACAGGCAGCCCCCTGGCTTTCCCAAATTATCTCTGGAGGAAAACAACCCCAATTTTGATATTAAAGATTCCCATATTTTTTTTTAATTTTTTTTTAATGTTTATTTATTTTTGAGACAGAGAGAGACAGAGCATGAACGGGGGAGGGTCAGAGAGAGAGGGAGACACAGAATCTGAAACAGGCTCCAGGCTCTGAGCTGTCAGCACAGAGCCCGACGCGGGGCTCGAACCCACGGACGGTGAGATCGTGACCTGGCTGAAGTCGGACGCTTAACCAACTAAGCCACCCGGTGCCCCTAAAGATTCCCATATATTAAGTTTAGTCAAATGTAAACTTACAATGAAAAATCAGCAAATAACACAAGGAAGCTGGCTACCATAAATGATAGTCGGTCGAAACAACAAACACCAGAGTTGTAACCCCCAAGAACTCCAGCAGCTGGGATTATGAATAATAGATTGCAAAACAACTCTATGAAGTTTTTAAAGAAACACAATATGAAGGAACCCTCATACGCTGTTGGTAGGAATGTAAATTGGTGCCGCCACTGTGGAAGACAGTATGGAGGTTCCTCAAACAATTAAAAATAAAACTATCATATGATCCAATAATTCTACTACTGGATATTTACCCAAAGAAAATGAAAAAACATTAATTTGAAACGATACACACATTCCTATGTTTATTGCAGCATTATTTATAATAGCCAAGATATGGAAGCAATCTGCATGCCCACTAGTAGACAAATGGATAAGGAGGATGTGATGTGATGTGTGTGTGTACCATACACAATGGAATATTATGCAGTCATAAAAAAGGATCCGATCGTGCCATTTGCAACAAATTGGATGGACCTGGAGTGTATTATGCTAAGTGAAATAAATCAGACTGAGAAAGAGAAATACCATATAACTTCACTTATATGTGAAATCTAAAAAAAACAAATGAACAAACAAAAAGCAAAATTGGACCTATAAATACAGAGAACAAATTGAGGATTGCCAGAGGGAAAGGGGGTAGGGACATGGGCAAAATGGGTGAAGGGGCGTGGGAGATAAAGGCTTCCAGTTATGGGATGGATAAATCATAGGAATAAAGCAGCATAAGGAATATAGTCAATGGTGTTGTGATCGCACTGTATGATGACAGACTGTAGCTACACTTTTGGTGAGAACAGCATAATGTATAAACTTGTTGAATCACTATGTTGCTATGTTGTACACCTAAAACTCATGTAATATTGTATGTCAACTATAAGTAAAATAACACAATTAAAAAATAACTCAAAGAAAAACATTTTTTAAAAAGGGACAAAAGATGTAATTCAAGAATTGAACAAGGAAAAAGGCTATTTAACTTTCCTGAAACTAAGTTTTTTGTGTCTAAAGTGGGATTAGTAATACCAGCTCTATGCATCTTCTGTGAAGCCTGGCTGAGATGAAATATGTTGAAGTAATATTTAAGCTAGCTATAAGAAAATGGAATACTGTAGAGTAGGGAAATTCTTCTCTACAAAACGAATAATATAGTATACATTGTTTCAAAACCTGGAGGAAAGCAACTCCAATTTAGATACTTAGATTATAACCTACTTTTTTCACTGTTCTGTTTATCTTCTTTTAAATCTTCTAGAACATTATTTTCACAATGTATCATAATGAATTTAATCCGTTATTGCTGGATATTTACATTTTCCCCAGTTTCTTGCTATAATAAACAACGATATAATATTTTATCCTTGTAGTCAAATTTTTGTGCACATCCTTTACTACTTCCTTGGAATAAATTCTAGCAAGTACAATTGTAATTATAACTACTTATATGAAATTTAAATTATTAAAGAGCTATATAAAATAAAAAGCATAAATCCTTCAGATTTCTGTTCTTTGGCAGTAACCACTTCAAATGATCAGATTTTTTTCTATACATATGCATATATTTTTTGTTGTTCTTATTTTGTTAACAGAAGTTGAGCCATTTAAATTATATTGCTTTGGAACTTGCCTTTTTCACCTAACAATATTACATGGGCAACCTTTTAGCCACTAAAGAGTTACAAAATCTTAGATAAGTTTATCTTTTCAGTGCCTGTCTGTACCAACTTCATAAGATCATTGTGCGGATTGCATGAGTTATAAGTGGTTGGTTGGCTTATATTATGAGTATATGGCACATAATAAGCACTTATATCAGTCCAGGTTCAATCAGAATAGAACTAGTAGGAGAAATATATGTTTAGTAAGAGATTTGGTATGGGGATTTGCTCTTTTTTTTTTTAAGAGAGAGAGCACACACGAGCTGGGGAGAGGGGCAAAGGGAGAAAGAGAGGATCTCATGCAGTTTCCACATTCAGCACAGAGCCCTATGGGGGCCTTGATCCCACAACCCTGGGATCATGACCTGCTCAGAAATCAAGAGTCAGAAGCTCAACTGACTGAGCCACCCCGGCGCCCCAGGGGTTTGGTGTCTCATGCAGTTGTGAGCAGGGCTGGCTACACAGCCTGTTAGGCTGTCTTCATTCGTCTTATGCTGGAGCTTGAAGTCCACTCAGGAAGTGAAGATGGTACCACAGGAGGGAGAGCAATGTCAAGCTAAACCTATGAGCACAGGATGAACCCATGTCAGTTCTCCCTACCTCCAAACCTGATAAAGTAGGCGTCCTGCAGGAGAAGATGGCCCCCTCATCAAGAACCTAAACGGACACCTGGCCCAGGAGCTGGGGAAGGTGAAGGAGGACCCGAGGGAAGGTGGAGAAGTTGCAGGCCTGGCTGTTGCCTCATGCAGAGGTGAGCAGCAGATACCTGGTGATGGGGATGAGCTACAAAAGCACTTGGTCCGACTTTCCAAGTGTAAAATCCAAAGTGCTTCACTTCCACCCTCCATCCCCTGCACCAGTAAACTGTACGTCTTGTAGCCCACTCTAATCAGAAACATACACGGAGGTCATGCCTAGCCAAGCTGACACATTACCAGCCACTACTAAAAAGGTGCTGTTATTATTCTTGCAATATTTTATGTTATTTTTGTTACTATTGCCATCATCATCTTCAGTAAAGTGAGAAATATTCATTTTTGCCAGAACAAAATGTTTGGGGATGAGGGAAGTATCGAGAAAAGGAGGCTAGAAAGGTAAGCTTGACCTGGGTCCTGCTGGACCTAACAAGCCACATAAAGGACCTTGGACATGTTCATGGAAGACACTGGTCCACAGCTTTTGTTTCCTGTAAGGTCTAGATCTGGTTTTGGTATTAGGGTGATGCTGGTGTCATAGAATTGAGTAAGTGTCCCCTCTTCTTTGCTTTTTCTGGAAGAGATTGCAAAGAATTGCTATCATTCCTTTTCCTCCTCCTCCTCCTCCTCCTCCTCCTCCTCCTCCTCCTCCTTTTTAAAAATGTTTACTTATTTATTTTTTGAGAGCGAGAAAGTGCAAGTGTGAGCAGGGATGGGGGCCAGAGAGAGAAGGAGAGAGAGAATCTCAAGCAGGCTCCACACTGTCAGAGCGGAGCCTGACGCGGGGCTCAATATCACAAACTGTAAGATCATCACCTGGGCCAAAATCAAGAGTCAGGAGCTTAACAGATGGAGCCACCCAAGTGCCCCAATATTGTTTCTTCTTTAAACGTTTGGTTGA